GGATGATTTTTACGGAAAATCGTCTGTTATTCACAGAATAACGATGACACCGAAAATCGCCGGAGATTTAAGAATCTTCATGTCAAAACACGTCTTTTACCGAAAACAAAAAAAATTTTCAGCTCATGGGGCTCCAGTAGGAGCAGCAAGAACCGTGTCCCAATTTAGGAGCCAAAGTCTCCTAAAGTGGGACAAAGTCGAGGGGTGAATCACTAGTGCACTCATGTGTACAAATTTGCCCGTACTCAGTGTACTCTCAAGTTTAATAAGGGTGAAATTCTGTACTTTTTCGCTTGATTTGGCGTTGGGTGTCGTTTAAAACGCTAAATAAAGCCCATGAGCGTTTACAAGTGCAAAATTTGTGAGCAAAGCAAGGTGTACTCACCCGTACTCATGTACTCATGTGTACACCAGAACGCTGAGTCATTCACCCCTCGGACAAAGTCCCCTAAAGTGGGACACGTTCATTCTTTTTCGCCCAAAAACTGCAGTAGCAAAAAATTTCATAAAATGTATTATGTTCTAAATTTAATTTGGAGCAAGATTGGTTCTGAAGTCTTTTTCGATATCTCGATTGGTTAAGCTGATATGAGCCTCTTCAATCAATTAGTTTTCCTTAGATATATTTAAATTAAAAAACCGCCGTAGCGCCTAAACCAATTGAAATACGGCGAAAACCAATAAAACAAAATGGCCTTAAAATTCAATTTCTGACCAAAAACATTTTATGAAATTTTTTGTTCAGGTCGTATTTTATAAGTTTCGAAATGCACGGCAAAAAATAGATGTTGAAATTTTGAAAATTAAAAACCGTTCGCCCGGCAACTTTTTTTCTAAAAAATTTTTTGTTCCAAACATTATTTTACGCAAGATTGGTCTTATGGTCGATAACGATATCTTTGTCGGTTAAGCCAAGAGCAAGCATTTGCTTTCAAACATAACTAAATTTTGTGCTGACTTAAAGCGTACCGAACCGTACTTGCCCGACTGCCTGGGCCTCCAAACCGACCTGGCAACCTAATATAGACCAGGTGGCGTTTGTAGGACGCTGGAGGTGAATGTAACGCCTCTGAATCGGTCAAAACCTAAAAGAAACGAAGAAAATTCATGTGTCCCACTTTACAGCCCCTTAGAAGATTGCTTCCCACCGTAAAACGAAGCATCGGAAACAAATTTTCTAAAGTGCATCTTGTAGATGAAAGAACGCGCTACAACATGTCTGAAGTCTAGAATGGTCCGAGCATCAACGGCTCGAAGCCCCGAATCCGCGCTAGACGTCTGAAAAAACTTCTCTTCTTTTCTGCATCAAATTCCAATTTTCAAGATTTTTTCAGGGAGGGGGTATGAGCGGGAACAAGACACTCTCTGCGGATATGGTCTCGGAGGGGTCCTACCGTTTAAAAAACATTTTTTACCTCGCAAAATATCCACGCGTTGGCCGTTTACGGCCTAAAATAGGGAAAATAGTCAAAATGTCCCACTTTAGGGTTCGTGTCCACATTTAGGGGACTTGACGGTAGTGAACTACGTGGGGTACGAAGTGACACTTTGACTTAGGCCCATTCAACTCGGGATAACTCAGCAACCAAAACAGATAAATTAGAAATCTCAACAGAAATTATAAGGTGAAGAATCATTTTGTTCACATGCCTACTTATGGATGTAATGTGATTGATATTATTGGGTTGACGGGCACTTAACAAAAACCGTCACATGGTACCCCACCTTCCCTAATGCAGCGCCAATGAGCTCCACCGGCGGCAAACGGAGCGACACTTAAGCAGCTCTTCAGTGCTCAAGTCACTGTAAATCCAAAGGCGATACTTTTAGCACCTTTTTTGGCGATACAATTGAGTACCGCCAGTAAACGGCCTTACGGAAAAGTATTGCCTTCAAAATGGCGATACACAAAAGTATCGCCAAAATTTGGCGATACTTTGGAGTAATGCCACGGTTTGGCAATAAACGTTGAACAAATCAATCGGACAAGTTCTAAGTTTAATGCCGTGGTTTTGGCAGTACTCCAAAGTATCGCCAAATTTTGGCGATACTTCTATGTATCACCGTTTTGAAGGCAATACTTTTCCGTAATGCCGTTTATTGGCGATACTCAAATGTATCGCCAAAATATGTACTTAAGTATTGCCTTTGCATTTTCAGTGGTACTTCAGAACCTCCAGCTGCACACTGTCAGGCAACGCACTGATCTCCATCTGCGGGTCAGAGAAATGTTGTACTCGATGGGAACTGCCGACTTTTTAAGAGAGCACACTTTACACGCAGTAAGAAAAAACTCGGGTCATTTCGTAAATGCACGAGGAATCTTCAGTCTAGCACTGAGTAAGCAAAAACACTCTCGGCACGTTACCGCCTTTTTTCTCAATAAGTACGTGTTCGTTTAGGCACACTGAGAAAACCTTACAAACTATTTTGGGCCTTACAAAGAAAAGTAGTTTGTATAACAAAGTATTTTGAGCACACGTAAGCTAACAAAGAAAATACTTCGTAATTTACGAACTGTTTCTTCGTATAACAAAGTATTTTAGTTTGTTATATGTATGCTCAAAATACTTCGTAAGGTTTTAAGAGTGCAAGGATGATACTTGGTATTTTTTTCCTAAGTAGGCCTAAGGCCAATTTTCCTTGTAAACTTTTTGATGAAAACAAATATAGTCAAAACGTTGTTTAAAAATTTCTAGGTTGTTCTTTCAGGAACGGAAAGAACGTGTAATGGTAGTACAAATTACTTGCACAAGTACTGACAAAATGAGCAAAAAGCCAGTAACGTGCTGAGAGTGTTGAAACTGGAAATAGGGTATTCCAATGCTCTTCCAGGACTGAAGTGATAGATGGGAGTTTTGATGAGAAATCTACGCGGCGAAGTTCATCCGCCGCGTAGATTTCGCACAGTAACTGCCATTTATGACTGTTATGGTTCATCTCACTTCCGTTCTGGGAGGGCGCTGGAATACCCTATTGCGTTTTCAGTGTCACTGTAATCCTTTCAATCCGTCTACGAAAGTTCAGTCGCGACTTCCGGTTTATTTGCTTAGTCCACGGATCGGAGTTGGCGGAAAAGCCTCCCAAGGTATCTATGAGCGTCTTAGAAACGCGATGTGATGATAATAGTTAAAGGTATTCGTTTACCTTGACTGAAATGTTTTGAGCTTCCAACTCCGCTAAGAAGATTTATGGGACCTATCGGCTACGAAAACGTGACTCATTTTTTGAATATTTTTAAACTGTTTATTTGTCAGTTAGGAGGTGTAGGAAAATTAACCACATTTTGAGTCCAGGCAAAAATAGCGAGACATAATTTATTGCTGTCATACTCTTCATGGAAAATAATGTACTAATACAAATATAAATTATTGATCTAGCAAAAAGAGGAATAAACTAGCACATTATTAAAAACACATTATTCTAACTCAAAATCATTAAGAGGTACACTGAAATATGTTTCCTCTTCACAATCAACTTTAAACATAACAGCTTCCAAACTGCTCACATTGACAAGATCAAATGTAGCTTTGTCAGCGCAAATATCATTACATTTGTGGGAAAATATATGTGATATTTCAATACCTTGGATTGTAAGAACATTCAGTGCCTTTGGTTTGACAACAGCCACATGATCCGCTTTACAATTGCAACTACTAGTACACAAGCAAGACAATTTTGTAAAACAGTGACAGGCGCGTAATTAGGGGGGGGGGCGATCGCCCCCCCCCCTTTGGCCCCCGAAGGGGGCCAAGAGTACTGCCCTTACTGGGTCCGATTGGCCCAAGAAATAGCAGTTAGTCAGGAATCGTCCCTTAGCCTGGCCCGAACAACTCACATTTTGGACACACTTAGGCATTGGCTTCTAGCTCGCTTCGCTCGCTGGAGGTAACTTGCTTCTGGGTTCTCTCCGCTGGCAAATAAACCGGATTGAGGTACCTTATGACTGGTATATGTATTCTTAGATCCTTAACCATCTTAGGCCGGGAAGAAAATTTGGGTGCAACGTATTTTCAACCATTTGTTCGTCTGGCCAACAGAAAATATGTACCTGGTAATGTTTAAAATCTCCTGGAATCCTAGGACTAAGACCCCAAGTTATAATATTTCCCGCTCAACAAGGCTATAGCTTTTAGCTCGCTTCGCTCGCAACAGGGAGCCTCTTCTAAATTTCGGCTCCGTGGCAAGTGGAGGGAAGCAAGTGTTCCAGCCCTTCTAGACGAAAAAGTCTTCCCCATTGTAGGACTCGGAAACAACGTTTCAGACAGTTAAGCATTTATAGCTTTTGGCTCGCTTCGCTCGCTGAGAGCTATCTAATTCTAAATTTTCGCTATGAGTCCAAACAAATGTAGAATAAAGTGAATTCTCTTCCAACTTTGTAACAACCCCTCAATTTTCTGTAACGTTGTTTTGAATTTAGCCCCCTTTCCCCAAACCACGTCCCTAAAAAATTACCTATCAGACACAGGCTCCTTGAAGGTAGGCAACTTTTCAAACATTCGCCCCCCCCTTTCGACCCGCCTAATTACGCCCCTGGCTCGCTGGCTTTCCAGTGCACCAATTTGTCGATTGATTGAGGTTCTCTCTGCAGATAATGAGGGGGTTTAAGTTCCTGCAATCTTCTGTTAACAATATGAATCTTGTCATAACATGAAAATGGCTTATCCTTATGCTCCTTATCAAACCACAGATGTAGGAGTTGACGAGTCACACCTAAATATCCACAATGCATGACATCAATAGCTGTGCATGAAAATAAATCTGGTAACATGTCCGATAAAAATGTAGGCCTCTTTATACCACACCACTCTTCCTCATTTTTCGGGTCCTTAGTCATAATGATCTTCTTCTCCACAGCGTATTTCACATGGTCTTCATATTGGGGCATTGTTCTCAGACTAACATTCTCCTCATATGGGAAAACAGTTGGCTCCTTTGGGGTCCGCTTAACTCCTTTGATAAGACACACTGGACACGAGTAGAAACCAGAATGATGTTTCATGTTCATAAATGTGGCTGTAGCTGGAGCATCACACGTACCACAAAGTAATTTCACTACAACCTTTCTTGGGACATTTTCACCACTACACATTAAGTCAATTCCTTTTTCCATTTGTTAGTACGACATGTTAATGCAGCAGAAGTGGTTGAAACAGGGGGCCTCCTTACCCGGAAGAGAGAAATTGAAAGGCTTCGCATGTTACAAGTAAATGCGGAAAAAATTACTCTACAAACTGCAGCTGAGCAGCTTTTAGCTGAAGGTGCAGGTATGTCAATTAATTAGTTTGACTGGAAAACATACCCTAAGACATTGTTTGTTCACTCTATATTTTCTCATTATTTCGCTCAGATGCTGTTTCTCAGCTGGCTCAGCCAGTCATTAAGACCAAAAAGGTTGCAAGTAGAAGAAACCTGCGTCCTTCAGAAGCGCAGAGGCTTCAAGAAGAGTTAGCAAAAATTGGGTGCTTTGGGGACAAGAGTGGCAGAGTAAGTAAAAATATTATGAACAATTTTAAAAATTCATAAATGGTTTGTGTTACATTCTATATTTTACGTCGCAGACAAGGCTCTGCAAGGACTACAATGTATTTATAAATTCCGAGAAGCTTTCCATAGCCCTGCTGAAGTATAGGAGGAAGCCTGCCAAGTTGCATCAAGCAGTCCTAAAACTTGCATTGCCAGAAAAAATTCTGCGGCTTGATGGCATCAGCCGTACGGGAAAGAAGGGGTGTGTGGGAATCAGCTCTGACATAACAGAAAGCATAACATGTAAGTTAAATGGAAATAAACCTTGCACTACAAGCACTTGAGCTGTTTACTAATGCTTTTATTTTTTTGCAGTGTATGTAAGTGCTGTCTATAGGGCTGCTGGAGGCGATGTGGCAGAAATTGATTATGACCCGGACGCTAAGCTCAAGAATCTTCTTGACGCTGCGCTGGTCGCGGGACATTTATGTGGAGCATGTGAGCGGCGTTAGGCAATACAAGACTACGGTCCTCCTGCCTGCGTAGCCGCATTCATGTAGTTAAGTTCCAGTTTTCTAATTTTATTCTGTGCAGTAATTCGTTAATGCCTCCTTTTTACAGTATTTTCTAATGCTAGTTGCTTATATTTATAGGCTGAAAATAATAATGCTTAATTTATTGCAGCTCTCTGCTTAAATTGATATGTATTTACCGTCGTCTTCTAATTCTGCACCTTTTTTTAAATGTAAAATACTGTTTTGTTACCATTATGTTCTTTGAGTCCCGTGTGGTATGTTGCAGGTCCATCGTCGCTGACTGGGTTGCTCCTTTTCCAGGAGAGGGGCAGCTCACCAGCGACTCCAGGCCTGCCAACTGCCACTCGGGACGCCACTCTTCAATTAACTTCAAGTTAACCTTCCTACTATGTGCCCAAACTTCAGTATTTCTACTATTCAAATTTTAATATTTTCGTAAAGAAAAATTGTAAAGTATAGTGACAGGGCAATAAAAACTTTCAGTTTAGTCAACCTGTCACTTTACTATTGAACTATTTTAAATTCTTAATGAGTAATCTGCTGATCAACGGCTTCAACTTTATCACTATCATCAAAAAATGTTCAACAATAATGTGCAATAAATGCTTTATAAAAAGAGCATTTAAGAACTTCACCTTAGGAAAGCTGAAATGGGGTATCCTCTCAGGGGAGAAGCGAAGGCAGAAGCAGAGAAAGACCCAACAATGAGAGTTACTTATGGTTTTTGACTTTCAACAATGCTTGCCAAACAACGCATTTGAAATGCAAGGACATTTTTTATGCCAGACAACTGTATGTGTACAACTTCACAGTGACAGACACAACAACAGATCCTATTCACTGTTATATGTGGAGTGAAGTGGAGGGACACAGAGGTGCAAATTAGATTGCATCCTGTCACCTCCGACATATTCTGCAGGAAATCCCACCTGGAGTAGTAAAATTGAAGCTGTTTTCTGACTGCTGTGCGGGCCGCCACTCTGTAATCGAGACGTACAGGAAGAAGGTCAACAGGATAAATATCCCAGCTGGGTGGTATACAGGCTTTAAAAAATCTGGAATGACAGACGGGAAGAGGTTTCCGAATGGAAAATTCCAAGTGGTCCACATGACAAAGTTCTCTGACATCATGACTCTTGCACAAAAATATTTTGTCAAGAGAAACAAATGCACAGGGAAAGAACCATTCAAGTACCTTGAGACCCATTGGATTGAATAGTAAATCTCGAAAATTTTACTTAATGAAGGAAATGAAGCGAACTCTGCAACGTTGAAGATTTTACACTCTGAGAAATTCTTTGCACAACTAGCCCAGAAATTCATGGAGCCAAGCAATTTGACCGCCCTGCAACGGGCAGATCATCTTCCGCCGAAGGCACAGGCATTACTCAAAGCAGCTGTCCAGGAGGCAGCATCCTTCCCTGGACTTCACACAGCTGAAGCCACTGCAATGCAAGGTGCGCTAAATACATTCATGTTAGACCAGTATAAAATTATTGGCTGAGCGATAGCGAAGCCTGTTACTCCAGTCGGGTTGAAAAGTTTTTCTTGTCTGTCTGTCTGTGCGTGTGTGTGTGTCTGTGTGTCCGCACTACTCCTATTTAACGGCTCGGCCGATTCTGCTGAGATTTTGCAGGGTCATTAGGCATATCCCTGGCTCGCCACACACCAAAATTCAGCTTTCTATCTCAATCCATTCGGTCATATTAGCCAAAAAACACTCTAAAAACGGCAGGAAAAAGACAACTTTTTTGGAACTTTCAACTTTTAGTCAAGTTCCATGTCGTTTTAAATGTTTTTGAGGCTGCTGATGACGAAAATAGAACCCATTCGGACCTCCGACCGAAAGTTTAGCCCCATTAGTGTAGATTTTCATGACCAAATGCTCTTTTTGAGGGGATCACGCCCATTTCCACGGTCTGCCTAGGAAGGCAGCCTGCCGAAGGCAGGTGAGCGATTCTCACGTTTCGGGGTAGTTTTGGCGTCTCTGATTTGCCGAAAGTGAGAAATATCCAATTAAGTTTTTCTGATTATTGGGGACCTGGATGATACTAGAGTTATGGCAATGGTATTTATAGTGAAGACCTTGTACTATCTTCCTAAAGACATGAGCCATAAGGTATTCCCATACGTTTTAGTGGGTGTTTTGATCACGGAAATTACGTTATCACGGAAGTTACAAAGTGTGAAAATCAGCTTTAATGGCTGACTCGGGCTTGCTGTGGCTTAAAAGTCGTTCCAGGGTCAAATCATACTCTAAGCCCGACATTTAAGCGGAAAATTTTTTCACCTAGTGCTGCTGCAACATTGGGTAAAGGGTGCCACGGAAGTTACAGGTAATTGTTGATACACGCCAATGCTCTAGCCCGCTTTGAGACCGTGTACAGCATCTTAGATTTCCGCGACCCATGCAATTATGTCCCAGGGACTCCACTTTGATGGCTTGTGTCATGGAAAGTTACAAGGTAGGTTTACGCCAGACCGCGTCTTGTCGTAACAGGCTTCGCGATGTCTCGCTGCCTGCTCCTCCAATCCACGCCTGGCGTACCTACCTTGGCCTGCGGCGCTAGCCTGCCTGCGGCAGGCAATGGCTTGTCCGTTGTCGTTTTTTTTTAACTTGTTGAATGCTGGGGGGCTCCGCCCCCAGACCCCCCTACATTCTAGATAGAGTTGTTTTATCTACAGATAACACGATCTTGACCCTTGTCACTTTTTTGGCTGAGCGATAGCGAAGCCTGTTACTCCAGTGGGGTTGAAAAGTTTTTCCTGTCTGTCGGTCTGTCTGTCTGTCTGTGAGTCTGTGTGTCCGCACTACTCCTCCTGAACAGCTCGGCCGATCTCAATGAGATTTTGCACACTTTTTGGGTATGTCCTCGGCTCGGCACACGCGAAATTTCACTATCCTACAGCCTCGACAAGTTAAACAGTAACAAGGGTCAAGGTCGTGTTATCTGTAGATGAAGCAACTCTATCCAGAATGAAGGGGGGTCTGGAGCCCCCAGCATGCAACAAGGTAGAAGTAACCGATGATGGACAAGCCAATGCCTGCCGAAGGCAGGCTAGCGCCGCAGGCCAAGGTAGGTACGCCAGGCGCGGATTGGAGGAACAGGCCGCGAGACATCGCGAAGCCTGTTCCGACAAGACGCGGTCTGGCGTAAACCTACCTAGTAACTTGTCGTAGCTGGGGGGCTCCCCCCCTTTCTCCAAGACAGAAGTGCACTGAGAAAACCTTACAAACTATTTTGGGCCTTACAAAGAAAAGTAGTTTGTATAACAAAGTATTTTGAGCATACATAAGCTTACAAAGTAAATACTTCGTAATTTACGAACTATTTCTTCGTACAACAAAGTATTTTAGTTTGTTATATGTATGCTCATAATACTTCGTAAGGTTTTAAGAGTGTGGTCTATCTGCAGAAATCTCTATTTTTCGCCGTTTATTAGGTGTTTTTCGCCTATAAAAACTGAACCAGTTGAGCTAGGATGGTGAAATTTCGCGTGTGCCGAGCCAAGGACATACCCAAGACGTGTGCAAAATCTCACCGAGATCGGCCGAGCCGTTCAGGAGGAGTAGTGCGGACACACAGACAGACCGACCGACAGACAGACAGACAGACAAAACTTTTCAACCCCACTGGAGTAATAGGCTTCGCTATCGCTCAGCCAACAAGTTTGGCTTGGGGAGAAGTCCAGAGCTGCCTTTTCGGAATTTGTGTAGTGAAATTGAATATACGGAGGACATTTTTCGTTGCAGCATAAGTACCTTCGAAAGAAGTCTGGCGTATTGGTCTTCGGTTGAAATTAGCTCGAGACATGCCAAGCTTCGAATCCCCATCGACAGTTGGCAGCATTTTCGAACCACACCGCCACACTGGGGGCGGAAAGTTCGAGTATGTTCTCTTTGGACAATCACGGAAGTTACATTTGGGGTATTCCAAACGCTACGTAGAGCAATCCAACGAACGTGAACTTTTCGAAATGTGTGCGTTTAGTGGGCAATGGCCCTCCCTTACATCAGAAACAAACCCCATGTCGATATCTGCGCTCGTTTGGGCACACGAGTCAGAAGAAACGAAACTACCCCGAAACGTGAGAATCGCTCAGGTTAGCGCCGCAGGCCAAGGTAGGTGCAGACGCAAGGCGTGGATTGTCGAAATTGGCGCAGCATCGCGAAGCCTGTTACGACAGGACACGGTCTGGCTCTGACGTACACCTACCTTGTTAAACCCATGAATTTGTTTACCTCATTTCCTCTCAAATTATGGGCGGTCGTGGAACCTGGTAACGGTAGAATCAGCATTTCTTACCCGTTTCCGTTTTCTCTTCACTTTCTGCCTAAGTTACTTTAGTAGAAGAATTGGCTGACTGACAAACTATGTCTGCCAAAGGAGATCGCTAGTCGATGAAGCCGACAAGCAAGCGTCACTTGAGCTTGGTAAGTCATTTTTAGCAACTATACTGTTCGCGTTTCAAAGGATTCCTCTTTTGTTTGCGTCGCCTGGTGACTCTCGCGTGTTCATCTCTGGTTCGTCTGTGCGCCAAGCTAATCAGCTGTAAATGTTGGGGCGGTAACATTTTACGTTTATGTTAACTTGCTCGGGTACTGCTAGAAATAAGTGTCCTGATGCCACGCGCTCTTCGAACGTGCTTCCATGAACGAAATGCCGTCTCATTGTTTTCAGACTCGACAACAAGGTGGATCTGCTACGCCCACCTCCATGCCTATGATGTGGCAGCAATATTTTTTTAATTGTCTGAGCTATAGCGAAGCCTGTTACTCCAGTGGGGTTGAAAAGTTTTTCATGTCTGTCTGTCTGTGTGTCTGTGTATACACTGTTAGAAATTAGCTCCGAAATTTTATGGAGAAAAACCCTATAATCACGTTCATGGAGACTCCATTCATTTTCCATTTTTTTTCGGAGAGATTTTCTCAGGGTTTATACAGATGTTCTTCGGAGCATTCCTTGGGTCCAGAAAGGAGGTAAAATGCAAGTCTTTTCTCAGATATATTAAAGAAGACTTCGCTGAAGCATTTTTTGGTCTGAAATGGTCAAAGAAGGGAAAATCTC